ATATATAATAAACATATCTTTAACCTCCATATAAGAAAAATCCATTATTAATAGAGGTAAAATTGAAAAAGAAAACTCCTATGTTATGTTAAAAATTAAAATTGAAAAATAAATTAAACTACCTACTTTTACACTGTGTAACAAATTAAATAGATAAAAAATAGTATTAATCTAGAGTGTTTTAATTTAGTTATTATACTCTCTATTTATATAATATTATTTCAACTTTTTTTTTATTTTTTTAGTTTTTGTTTTATTAACCTCTCAATATCCGGTGACTAATCCGGAATTAAACTGCATCAGACCTCATTTGAGAAAAACTCTCCTAACATCTATTTCTCTATTTATAAGACTCAAACTTGAAAATTTATTTAAAAAAAAAAAATCAAATTTTTTTCATTCGAATCAATATGTTGTGGGTTTTATTTTTCTATTCTATTTACAAAGAATTACGCTAAACAGACTAGAACTTATCCAAACCCATAAAGTTAAGGTTCAAAATCTACTCCGCTCACACATCAATGGTCATCCACTTAAAAACGACACATCGTTCCAACAACCTGGAAACTCGCAACCTGATAATCATGCGAAGAAAATATGGTTTTCTTCTGCCCAAAGTCAGTTGGCCTACTTGAGAATCTGAAGCAAGCACAACCCACAAAATCAAGCACAACGTAGGTTCCTTTGGTACCCTTTTTTATTTTTTTGACAAAACCCATTAGCTTAGCTTTGGCAATTGGCGTGGCATGATTCTCAAAGGAAAGATGGGGTTGGTGCTTTTGTGGGAAAAGCACATTCTTTTGACCATGAGAAGGCAACTTTCTGTTCTGATTTTTGAAGCTTGGATTTTGCGCGTCACTACTTTTGAACAGGAAATGATACTTTTGTATTTCAACTCCATGGAGGGGGGAGGGGTACTAGTCTATCGAATACATGTAATTGTCAGTTCGGTAAAAACTGACTCTTGACAAGACTGGTCCATACCAAATTGCAAACTTCCTAGAGATTCATTTCAATGAAGAAGTCTGCAAACCCAGAAATTTCATTCAACAATCATTGCAGCTATGCAGATAGTAGTTTTAGAAAGAAAGAGAGCTTGGGGTATCAGCAAAATTGGTGCTTGGTTGTAGAGAAAATTCTGAGTGAGCTCTAGATACAAATCTTTACAACATGATCGTTTTGATAATCATGAAATGGTGTACCATTGGCTCAAAACTGGCCTGCTCGTATATCTCTATCTAAACGATCTGCGTTTAGGGTCCCAGGAAGCTCTCTGAAACCTTCGTTGAAGATGGAATATGCACTGCAAATGTTGGAAAGGAAAAAGACATGAACACCAAAATCAAATTATTAAAAAAAAAAAAAAAATCCTCTGAGGAAACAAACAAGAGTGCATGAATAACAGAACGTGATAGTGTTTCCTAGCTCAAGGAAATTCCACAATCTTTTCCTTCTATGAGAATGACTTATAAAAAAAAAAAACAAAAGAGAAGCAAAAGAGAAGTAGGACAGTAGGCGAGAAAAAAACAAAGGAGAGAAAAAGAAGAGAAATAACAAAAATCTCATTTACATAACACATAAGCAATGGTTGAATTCTAGTTTATTAGCATGAAGATGTTTTCAGTCTGGACTTGGAAAAATGCCGGCTTTATCACCAGACAAGGTGTGATCCTTCTATTATCATGAATTTTCTTCTAACTAAAAATTTACCATTTACATCTTTTTATCATCACATTTCACCTTTTGCTCCGCATTTGAATAAAATTAAGAGGATACCTGTCATCACCAGGCTGCCGCTTTCCAAGATTCAAGAAAATGATGCAAAATCCAGTACCAAGGATCTGAATAAAGTGATAACAAGGAACGGAGATATAAATAGTCTTCTTTATAAAAGTTATCCACACAAATGAAACTAAACATACAAGTGAACATGTTATAGATCATATGTGTGTTGCCCCCAAGTTGTTGTCTCAACTAGTAAGAACCCAAGACTTACAAGTTGTAGGTCTTAGGTTCGAACCTTGAGATGGGTGGGGAGGAATTTTGGAAGGAGAGCATTATCTCCTATTGTTGTTTAACCATCATCAGTTGCAAAAAAATAGCCTACATCAGATGTACCAAAGAACAGATCATGTTGCTTCATTACTGATTTACAGTTAATATTAAACTTCACAATTTATTTTCTCCTCTTATTCTCTAAGCATAATTAAAATAAAACATACTCAAAATATTCTCATCCCACTCTTAGCACCAAAAAAGTTTGTTGGGCAGAATTGAACCTTTTAAAAAAAAAAAAAAAAAAAGAAAATGAAAAAGAAGAAGAAGATATTCTCATCTCATCCTATAGACTAATCAAATTAAACACTACTACTCTGCTAGGAAATGACATAAATACAAATTAAAAACTTTTATATGCCTTCTTAAAAAAGGGTCCATTGACTCTCTATTTTCTTCTACTCTAAATTAACTTGTAGGCCACCCTTGATTCTCTAGTGTTGAGCAACTAAGAAAAAGTCAAGCACTCCTTATCAAAGGATAACCAAGTCTAAATCTGTCATATCTAAGAGACAAGTCTAAAGTTGAAAATGTCATTAAAGAGTAAGTAAATCATGTCAGTCAATTTCATTCATCTTGCATTGAACCAAGAGGAACTAATAAAGACAGTTGTATAACAGGAGCAGCTAACTACCAGTGTTGACTTAATGTTTGAGGGAGGACAAAGAGATATCAGAGAGGTTAACCCACACATTTCACAACTAATGATCCAACAGAGAAAATGAGGGTGCAGGGCTAATCATTCATCAACAATGCTACTCAATATACCAAAGCAAACTTACATATAATGGTCCGAGATCCCATTTGTGGGCAATAGGTGCCAACATAAACCATAAAACAATAAGAGCCCACATCTTCAGACTGAAAGAGAATATTGCCATCAAAAGGATGTCTATAGAAAGAGATAAAGAAGGGTCAAACCAGCAGAACGTTATTTGTAAACTTAACCAGAGACAAATGCAGTGTTAACACTCACCTGGCAGCTTCAATTTATTACGTAAAACTGAGTAAAGCTTCTTTTTCCACCGACTTGTAGACTGTGGCAGCTGAAACCTCTGGATTTCCAAGCATTACGGAAAAAGGAAATAAATCAACGACAACCCAAAAAAAAAAGAAAAAGAAAAAAAGAAGTTAGTGTTTTAATGTAGTATCAAAATTTCCCTTCAACTACAATACTATGTTAGTGGTACCAGATCTTCATCATCATCGTCAACATCAAATCCAGCTGGTGGTGGTTTTGGTTTGACAGCAACAATCAGTGAATCTAGAAAATGAAGAAAATGTACAGTTTTCAAGACCTAAAGACCAACCAGGTTAATATTATGAAACTAAGAGGGGAAAATAAAAGTTCATCATCATGATTAGATCCACTTAGAAACATTCAATACTTCTCAAAACTATATAAAAAGAGGCAAAGTTATATTGAGTGCAAGATCCATACCACCATCATTGAGCCTAACGTACACATCATCACCATCCTCATTATCATGCAATACCTTCCCTTGCAAGATAAGCTTCAAATTATCGACTGGTAAATGATTCTTCCCAGAAATCAGCCTTCTTAAATCCAGAACCTAATCCAAGAAAAATAATATAAGCATACTAAAGTAATCATGAATTCATGATGATGAAAAACATAATACATTTTTCAAATCAAATTTGTCCTCTAACTTTGTATAAAGACCTGTGAGATGAAGTTTTCAATTTCTCAAAACAAAATGTAAAGTTGACACTCTAATGCTGTTTAGCTTAACAGATTGTATCTTCTGAAGGAAAACAATTTCTGTCATCTCCTGGCATAACCTCTTCATTAAACACTACAATTAATTCATCAGAGTTGCTTAAATCCAAGATAAAATACTAAATAAACAACAAGGTAGATACTTGTCTCTACAAATAAAACACACAGAGACAAAATAAATAAATAAATAACCTTTAAAAGTGGAATTTATTCATTCAATCTGAGAAGCCCTAAGTTCATTCCAGGAGTTTCTTTTAGCCATACAAAAGAAAGGGTATCTCTCAAATTCCCTTTACCAATCATTACCAGGTCAAAACCCAGAACAAACAAACAAACAAGTAAGATTCTGGAAATAAATCTAACAGGAAATTCAACAGGACACCTCAAAACACAGAGGGATAGATAGAGAATGAATCATAAAGACGTACTTTGATGGGTGAGGGAACGCGGAGGCTAGAGGGGCGAGCAGGGCCTATGGTTTTGAGAGTGATCTCCACCAAATTCTCCTCTTTTCCATTAATGGGACTATCGATTTCCTCTTCAATCTCTCCCATTCTACTATCATCTGATATCTTATGCCACCAATTTCTCTTCTTATTTATACAAAGACGACGACTGGGCCAGCCGAGAGCTTGCTCTTTGGGAGAAGGAAGAGAAACCTGATGTGCTCGCAGCTCAAAGTCACAAACTTCACACGCGTTGGAAGTTGGATTTCGATCTACGAAGTTAAAGGGTCGAATTGTACATAAACCAAATCGAATGGGATACATAATAATATTTAAACTTCTATTTTTGCCCCTTAGACTTACTGATAACTTTCAATTGTGCCCTTTAAATCTTCCAGTTACCAATTTAACCCTCAAATTTTTTTGAAGAGTATCAAAGAGGTTCAAACGTGACAGAGGAACAGCCTTATGAGTCACGTGTTAAGGATCAAATTGCCAAAAAAAAAAAAAAAAGGAATGATTTTGATGGAAAAACAGTTGGGGTTTGCCGTCAGTAACAAGGATGAGGCTTTCTTTGCCTACCATTCATCCTGGATAAATAAAACACACCCCTCCTCTCCTCTTAGTTTCTTTCTTTTATGCTTACATATTTGTAGCCAACCAAATACAGAGGAAGATAATCAAAATCATGGCACTTGGAATGTGGGCTTCCTCTACTGCTAATGCACTTAGAATCTCCTATGCCTCCAAAGCTCACCTCTCCCCTGCTTTTTCCTTCTCCAGATGCTTCTCTACAGGTACCCTCTTGCTTATATAACTCGTTGCAATTTTTGAACATCTTCAATCTTTTTCTCTAAGTTGTAGGTTGTGTAGGGTGTGATTTAGAGATTTCATTTGTTGGGTTTTTGCAGTTCTGGATGGGTTGAAATATGCATCTTCACATGAATGGGTCAAGCATGAAGGTCCAGTGGCTACAATTGGCATCACTGACCATGCTCAGGTGATTTCCTAATTACCTCCTTAAAATCTACTTCGTTTCCATGGGTTTGCATGGTAAGGCAACATTAAGTAAATTGAATTTTAGTACTGCACTTTTGTCTATGAAGACTAATGGTCTTTAATAAAATCTAAAATGTGGCGTTAGTATTCACCAAATTGGGATTTTGGTTCTAAAAAAACAACTTCTCAAATTCCTAAATTAAGAAGAAAAATGCGAGGATAGAACGGTTGTTTTCATACTTTTTTCTTCATAGTTAGTAGATGTTCTATTGATTTAATTTCTTTAATCAGCCAATTACATGTTGTGCCATTTATACAGGACCATCTTGGAGAAGTAGTGTTTGTGGACCTGCCAGAGACTGGTGTTGCAGTCACCCAAGGAGGCAGCTTTGGGGCTGTGGAGAGTGTCAAGGCAACAAGTGATGTCAATTCCCCAATCTCTGGTGAAATTGTTGAGGTTAACACAAAGCTCAGTGAAACTCCTGGCCTGGTAATTCTCCCACTAAAGTTGGATTGTTTGCAAATTTTGTTGATAGTATACATCACAGGAAAAATAAAAACGAAGACAGTGCTCCATTTCTAGCCAGGCTGAATGTTAATGCCTCATTTCAGTCATCTCTTTTTTATTAAAATTTCTTGATTAATTCTTGTTGTTGTTGTGGTGGTTATTGTTATTAGTGTTTATTTATTTATTTATATTTTATTATTATTATTTTTTTATGTGATGAAGATCAATTCAAGCCCATATGAAGATGGATGGATAATCAAGGTGAAGCCCAGCAGTCCATCAGAGTTAGGGTCCTTGATGGGTCCAAAGGAATACACCAAATTCTGTGAGGAAGAAGACCATTAGAATCTGTACCATACTTTTCCTGAAACCTAATATTTTCTGTCTTATTGACAACTACTAAAGAAGTTCAATCTCCAACTTTGACAATCTGCTTCTTCTTCTTTTCTCCTTTACTTTTTTTTGGCTAATTTTCTCTATTTTATGTTATGATGACACACAACAAATCTGCTTTTTCATTTTGGCAATTTTCTTTTTATTTACATATTTTTTTAGTACATTCGATCATGGATTACACTGTTTAATCACACCATAAGCTGTATGGATCACATTTTCCTATTTACATTGACATGCGAAAAGAAAGGGACACACAAAACAACCCAACATTATATTTGCAGCAGACAGTTATATAACACATCAGTTGCAGACTTCACATCTTGAGTGCTTCCTATGGAAACTCTAGTCCTTAGGCAAGATGGTTTCTGGGAGCAACTGGAGGCGTCAGAGCATCAGGAGACTCTGCATATGATATGGAAATCAATTCAGACCTATACCTTTCAGCTCCATCACCGTTTGCTAGTGAAACGCCATTTGTTTTGTTGGTGTTTTCAGGTTGGAACCCTGAATTGAGAACGTTCTCTGGTGAACAATAGGATATTGCAATAAGTAGCTCTCGAGCTAGCTCCCGAGAGACCTTTGCACAAGGTGGTCTGGTATCCATAGGATGTCAATTTACTCCTGCAATAAACAATCCAAATTGCCGTATTAAAGCCATTCACAAGCATAAAAGAAATTCTACTGCCACAAGTTCATCACTTGAACAGCAAGAATTGTCAAAAGTCAGTGCATAACTCAGTCCATTTGATTAAATTTATATAAAAGACAATGTTACACTCAATGAGGATTGTATAGAAGGCAAGTGCACGTATTTGCTGTAAAAAACTTTCATTCCCACTTGATATGTCTTCCACCCATGGAAGTCTTCCTAAAGCTAGTGACCAGAAAAGAAATGATATTCACATTCTCATTATGATTTCTCTGACCAATACTAGTATGGGAGCAAGAAGAAGGAAAGAGTTTTATGGAACATAGACATATTAAACAACTTTCAAACCCAGGGACGTCAAAACAACAAGATTTATAACTTCAGTATTTCTCTAGAACAAGAATAGAACACCTATATGGGTAAACAGTTTAATCAAATATCAGACGCCCACACAACCTATTCTAATGACATAGTATGAGAAGATGAACATAGAGATAGCAATCTTAAAACAGCTTAAGTTTGATCTTATTATGCAAGAATGATGGTAAGACCGTGGCCTACAGATTTATTGCAATAGTCCCATGATAAGGTTTCCACTGCACCAAAACACAATCCCAACTGAAAATCATTGGAATTTCTCTTTTTTATCAACCAAAGATATTTCCTACTGTTTTTTTTTTTTCTTTTCATGAGACTTATTTGGTGAACAGAAACCAGACAAAATCTGAGAAAGACTAACTGGAATACAACCATGTAAGATCTAAATTTCCACTCATTAATACTCCTTCATGAGGCAGGATAATCCAATTTAATGTTGCAACTGCTCTGAGCACAAAACCCTTCTCTTGTAATGTCAGATTCCATCATAATTCCTTAGTTCTACAAAGTAAAACTTTGGGTAAAAATTGGAACCATAATTGTGGAACCCAAATACCCCAAAAACCAGTCTCTGACTCCTACGTGTTTTCCCAGTTTGACGGTAAGTGAAGTCCCCAATCATCAGTCTCTATATCTCTGTATATATAATCCATAATCGTTGTATAATTCACACTATAGCATTCACTTTCTTCGATCGACTGAAACATGGGTAAATTCACCAAGTAAAATGAAGCTCATCACGCCCATAAAATCCATAAAACAAGAAAAAATATAACAGATGTTAAAAGTAAATGGGTTCCAAAAAATTCTACCTTTTTTTCCTTAAACAAAAAAAAAAAAAAAACGAAACCCATGATTTAAAATACTTCGCCTCCTTCAACTTTCTCGAGAACCAAACACAAAGTAGGAGCAAAGACGATCACAAACCATCCAACAATAAAAAAAAATCAAGGAACGAAAAGAAATTATCTCAAGAAAGTTAAAAAAAAAAGAAAAAGAAAAAAGAAGAGGAATCAAAGATCGTACCTTCTGGGAATTAACTGTTAAAATCTAGAGATTCAAGTAAGAGTTGGACCCTTTATCAGATGGGAGCTCCTAACCACCTCCTTGGGTTGATAGATACGAGAAATTTTACAGTAAGTTTTGGGTTGAAATTGGATGAAAGATTTCTTTTAATTTTATTTATTATTATTATTATTATTATTATTTCCTTTCTGATGTTCAGTTTGGATGAAGAGACAACGATAAGAATTAGTGGAGACCCACAGGAATTCCCAGAGTCGGATACTTTGTTCCAAGTTTTAACATTGTTATCACGGCAAGAGCAGGACCGTAAACGTCCCGTCTTTGAATTATTCTTAATTATAAGTTTATAATTTATTTCTTAATCTTTACGTTATTTAAAAAAAAAAAAAAATTCATGGCAACGGTAGGATGACTGAAACTGGGAGTAGTACAGAAAAGAATTTTTTTTAATTATTTAGTTATTTATTTTGATTACATAATGATAATCAATCATTTCTTATTTTTTATTTTATTTCATTTGGATTTGTTATTTTCAGTGAAAAGAGATAATTACTGAAATATTTAAGTAGTTGACTTTCACAAAAAAAAAAAGTTTAAATTATAGATAATTTGAGTAGTGAAAATATTTAAATATTATTTTTATAATAAAAAATAAAAATTAATGCGTATCAATTTTAATTTTTTTTAAATTATAGTTTCAATTTATATTTAAAATTTAAAATTTTAAATTGAAGGGTGTACTTTTTAACCCGACTTATAATTATTAACACGTAAGATTCAGATGTAAATATATTGAGTAGTTTGTGCAAATATAAAGGGGGGATCTTTATGTCTAAACACACCTATGTAAATGAAAACGAATCTTATTTCCAAAATGATGTGTATTTTTCGTACTTTATCTCGGATATATATTT